CCAGCCCCTTCTTGCCTGCAAGGTCTCTTTTGAGAAATCAGCTGACAGTCTCATGGGAACTTCTTTGTAGGTGACTGTCCCCTTATCTCTTGCTGTTTCTAGGATTCTCTCCTTCATTTTAATCTTGGCAAATGTCATTATGAGGTGCCTTGGTGTGTTCCTCCTTGGGTCCACCTTCTTTGGGAGTCTGTGAGCTTCCTGGACTTTCTGGAAGTCTATTTCCTTTGCCAGATTGGGGAAGTTCTCCTTTATTATTTGTTCAAATAATTTTCCACTTGTTGCTGTTAGTCTTTCCCTTCTGGTACCCCTATGATTTGGATGTTGGAACATTTAAAGATGTCCTAGAGGTTCCTAAGCCTCTCCTCGTTTAAAAAAATTCTTGTTTCTTCATTCTTTTCTGGTTGGACGTTTCTTCCTTCTGATCCACGCTGTTGATTTGAGTCCAGGTTCCTTCCCATCACTATTGGTTTTCTGTCCATTTTCCTTTATTTCACTTAGCATAGCCTTCATTTGTTCATCTAATGTGCGACTAAATTCAACCAATTCTGTGAGCATCCTAATTACCAGTGTTTTGAACTGTGCATCTGATAGGTTGGCTACATCTTTGTTGCTTGCTTAGTTGTATTTTCTCTGAAGCTTTGATCTGTTCTTTTGTTTGGGCCATTTTTTGGGCTCTGTGTGCCTGCTATGTGTGAGGAGCAGAGCCTTATATGTTCACCCAGGCAGGGTAATCCGTGTTGCTGCATTGTGACACTAAACGTGGAGGAGGGGTCATAGAGGAAACATTGCGCTTGCTCCATTCTCTGCCAGATTTCAGTCACTTCCGCTACTTCTTTCACCGCTTCCCAGAAGCAAATCAGGCCCTTCTGATGCTGATTCCTGGGTGGGCAGGCTTGTGTATGTTCTAGGACCCTGTGGGTCTCTCCAACGAACTTTCCAGTGAGGCTGAAAGTTTCTCCTGCTGGCTCCTCAACTCCCACAGGTGTTTTCAATCGGCAGTTTGAGGCTTTATTTCCCCGCACTTGGACCCTGTGTTGTGCGGTCTGTCCCACTCCCCAGTTTTACCCAGTTTATCTGCACGCGAATGTGGGACCACCTGGTCCTCCAGCGCCACCTTGTAGGCCAGCTCCAGCCTTGTGGGCCGGGCGCTGTCTCACAATATGCCACCTTGCTGGGTCCACTAGCTACAGCCTTGTGAGTCCGGGTCTGCCAGCTGCTGCTTTGCCGGTAGTTCTCTCTGCCCCTCTTACTGGCCTGGACGAATGTGTCTTTTTTAACTCCTTGGTTTTTGGACTTCCATACAGTTCAATTTTGTGTCAGTTCTGGTTGTTTTTTAAATTTTTGTTGTACTTCTTTTGGTTGTGCGAGGAGGTATAGTGTGTCTACTTATGCCTCCATCTTGGCTGGAAGTGCTCTGATTTATTTTTAAAGTTGTCACCTAGATTCTAATATACAGCTCTAATAGAGAACCACTGAGCTAGGAGGGAAGCAAGTACAGAGTGGCTGAGTGATGTCAGTAGTGTAGCAACATGAGTGTTGATCCCAAAATACCTGCTGTTAAGGTGGCCAGAGCTGCTTGAATCCAGTTCCCATATTCAATATCATTCTTATATTTAGATTCCCATTAGATCCTCATCTTCCTCCTTGTTCTACATGTATACACATTATAGACCACTATTAATGAGGTAGAATAAATGATTCATTTCTTCAGACCAAAAGAGCCAACTGAGTTTAGAAATTTGTATCAGATATATACTAGTATGAAATAGACCCTCAGCAGAAATATGAAACATTTGGAATTGTTAGGGTGTGACTATAGAGTGAAAATCACACACAACTTACTCCATATACCAGGATGAAACATTTTGTTTTTAGAATTCCAGGTTGTGTTGTGGGAAATCTACTAATCATACAATTGCCTTTGTGACTAATACATGTACCCATTTAGGATAAAATTCTGAGGCAACTGGTAGTGGCTGTATTATACCACTTCCAAAGAAATAAGTAATGCAGAGTTTGAAAGTTGTTGTTTTTTTTTGCAGTCATGTGCAAATTCTGATATAGCCACGAGGTGGTAAACCTGGAATGCATGATTTTGCCTGTTATAGTCAGACATGGTGCTCAGTTATCATTTAACAAGTATGGAATACCATGAATTAGAACATAGGTCTTAAAATTTGAGAACCATTGAACTAAGTATGTCAGCTCAGATCCCTACCAAAAGTACACCTACTTCTTTCTAAAGATTACCACCCTTGTCCATTGTCCCAGCTACAGCACAGCTCTTCATGACCACGTTTTTTTTTTTTCTTCACATTATCCAGTATTGCATCCTTTCCACTGAGTACAGTTGATGGGACCAAGCTATACATTGCCAGCAGCCTATGACATGTCTAAGCATGAAAAAGTGGGGGCACAAATAAAGATGAATCAGCACAATTAGGTTCTCAATCTTTGGAATTTTAAAAGAACAATGAGAACTAAGTTGTTAGCAGTAAAAGCTGAAACTAAAAGCCTCACCAAAGATAGGTTAATAGCAAAGCCAGTCATAAGGAAGAAGATGAGTGAAAAAACCCTAAATGATATGGAAGATGAATAGGAAGAAGAGCTAAATCAAGTCAATGAAACAGCAGAAAAGGTCCACAAACTCCACTTGTTTAAGTTCATAGAGTTGCCACAGATGCAATTCCATGCCACACTATCGTTAAGATTCTTATGAAATTCTGATCTTCCTTACTGTAGGTATTTTATGTACGGGGCCCAGAACGGACTACCCCAAGAAGTGCCTCTCTGGTATACAAATTGTTTTTAACTGAAGACAATTTTATCTTCAACCTCAAGAGAAACCTGTGTCTGTCCCTTTAACTACCTAGAACTTGAATTAGAGGCCTTGCCCATAAGAAGGCATCATCAGCCAGTCTTTTTGACGCACCTATATGGCAGGGCAAACATCTATTTATTAAACATCTGCTCTCCTTAGCATCCTGCAATGACCCTTCAAAGACCCCAAGGCATATAACCTCTTTCCTAGCTCGGGATGTCTTGTATCTGCATTCCCCTTTCTATCTCTGAATCTCTCCTGTGTGATGGGTCTCTGACTTTCTCACGTATGTGACGTTTCCATACATATGTGTGCCTTAAATTTGGTTTCCATACTAATGTATGCCTTAAATTTGGTTATTCCCATGTCTTTGGATTATTAGAACCTCTGGTGTAGAGGAAAGTGTTCTTCCTCCACACTTACTATGTGTCTCTATATGTAAACATTTATTTCTTGAGCTAAGCCTGTTTCTTACCTCTTGAAACCAGATATCGTATGTAATTTAGAAAATTGTATAGAGCTGTGCTACAAAAACAAACCTTCAATAGGACTGTGAAATATTTAGACCTGGTTGTTATTTGGTGGTGGGGTAGTGAACAGATATACTGCATCACAATCTAGGCCAAAATGTTAAGAGCCTATAGGAACTGTGGCAAAGTTATCATCATGGATCCACACATCCAGTGAAGGTGTTTTGGTACAACTACAAAAGCAGAAAACATTCAAGTAGTCAAGGAAAGTCACAGATAGGTGGGTGCTTCTGCAATTGGCAGGTAAATTTCTAAAGTGATGTCATAACATAAGTTCAGATTATAGCATCTGGCTGTGCTTAGTTACTTTCCTACATTTCTGTTTAACTAATAGTTTAAAATTTATAGATAGATGCATATTTAGAAATCAATGTATGAGATGATGGGCATATGTGCTTAGTGGTCAAGATGTAGAAATGCAATACAAACACATGTGAATCAAGTGATAGCCACTTACAGTCCTATCTAAGGCAAACTGTCCCATCCACAGTTCTAGTAAAGAGGCAGTCCTAGAAAGCAATGGATTTTAAAATGTGACCTGTCCTGTCATTCAGAGCAGAATGTACCACCAGTGGGACACACTATACCCAAGTGTGGTGTCACCGAATGACTCAGAAAGTGACTACCAAAGCAGAGGTGAGGTAAGCCACTAAAATTCTTGAACTGAGAAATAGTTTCTGAAATGCAAAAAGAGTGAGGCCCAAGATTTTTCATCTTAAAGGACAAATTTTGGGAGATATATCCAAGGACATTGTAGCAATAAGCAAGGTTTAGTGATTGTCTGAATGGGTGGGGTAGGATAAAATGGCACCCGGACTACAATCAAAATGGCACCCAGACTACAATCCGGAAAAGATGGTGACGTCAAACCAGAGAGCCGGAAGGGCGGGCTTTGCCAAAAAACGGATATCCGCATAGCAACCTGAGCCCAAAGAAAGCCACCAATGATATATTGCCACTTTGTTCAAAGAGGACCAATCCCCAGCTCCCATGAAGAGAGCCAACCAAAATAAAACCCTGCCACATTCCCTGCTTGGGCGGGACTTTTCTGACCCCACTCTGTGGACTGGAGAACATGGCCTGGTTGCTTGAACCCCAATAAAGCTCTATAATGCCTAACTTTATGGCTGATTGGCATTTCTTCCTTGGCAGAGCCTAAGAAAACTGGAAAGTTTGAGTGATGAGTACTGGAAAGTTTATGAGGAAGCAGAATACAAACAGAGCTAGAAGGTAAACTAAAACTTGAGTAAGGAATGAGGAAGGTAAAAAGAAGCAGAGACAAAGAGGAATTTAGATATGTGATGTATAGCAGGATGTCTAGTTAATACTGTATTGAATACTGAAAATTTCCTAAGAGTGTAGGTTTCAGGTGCTCTCATCACACACAAAAAATGGTAAGTACACCAGACAATACCATTTGACTAATTATTTCACTATGAAGATCAAATATCATGTTGTATAGTCAAAATGTATACTTTTTTACTTTTAAAAATGACGTTAAAGGTGGTATACTGCATGAATGACACAAAACCTGGTTGCAAATATTTCCAGATCTGTCTTAGAACCATTTCCAATCCTCAAACCATTCTCTTCAGAAAGGAAACAGAATTTTCTTTATTTTTAAAAAGATTTTATTTATTTATTTTAGACAGAGGGGAAGGGACAGAGAAAAACACTGATGTGAGAAACACTGACTGGTTGCCTCTCACATGTGCCTGGACCAGGGACAGAACCTACAACCCAGGCATGTGCTGTGACCAGGGATTGAACCAGACACCTTTTGCCTTGTGGACCTGCACCCAACCAACTGAGCCACACCAGTTAGGGCTATTTTCTTCATTTTTTAATTGTTTCTATTCAAATACAATTTTTTCTTTATTTGGGATCTTAGTCTACCTTAAAGGCTGGCCATACACAGCCATGGACGATCCCAACTGCCTGGCTGGCTCAACAGAAGTCTGTTTCTTGAAAATAAATAACAGAAATTGCTAACAGAATTCTAGCTATAACTGAAACTGACTGAGAAGGTGAGTTTTCCAGAATTGGTGAGGGTGTCACAGCAGGGAATAAGTAAGAATCTCCCAATGTTAGAATAGAATGATAATAGTCACTAGTGGTCCATGACATAGCTGTTAATTGGGCATTTAAAGTCGTCAAAGATGATATTGTGAGGAATCTGGCAACTGCTGCAATACAGCAACTTCAAAGTTTTTCTGTTAATGGCCAGTTAGTAAATATTTGAGGCTTTGCAGGCCATTTGGTCTCTGTCACAACCACCCTATTCTGCCACCAGTACCATAAAAGCAGCCAGAGACAATACATAAATAAATGTTTGGCTGTGTTCCAATAAAACTGAAATCAATCTTGTGTAATTTTTGCATATCATGAACTATTATTCTCTTTTTGGTTATTGTCAACCATTAAGAAATTTGAACACTATTGTTTGTTCATAGGATCTTAAAAACAAAAACAAAAAAACAAGCAGTGGGCCACACTTGGACTGTGGGCTATAGTTTGCTGCCCCTTCAAATACAGAAATGGAAGATTGCATCAAAGATGGTCATACAACTTCCTTTAAATTTGAAGATATTATGTTTAATATGTCCAAGGATATTCTGATGACTTGTGTGAATTTGCTGTTTAATGAGCTATTCTTACTGTTTTTTACCATTTTAGTCATTTTAAATGTACAGTGCAACAGTGTTAAATATATTCACATTGTTTAGTAAACATTCTCCAAATGTTTTTCATCTTGCAAAACTGAAACTCTATACCCATTAAAACACTTCCCATTTCCCCCCTCTCCCCCATCTCCGGCAACCATCAAATTTCTAAGAGACAGTGTGGGCCAAAGGAGACCTATCTACAGAAGGGGTTTACTCCACAGGATGCCAGTTTGCTCAGTGTTTCACAAAGTCTTATAAAATCATTTAATCCACAGTAAGAAATACAATTAGATTGGGCCGAAGATACACATACATACAAACATGTAGCTGGGACAAAACTTTCACAAAGTACTTACCCTTTGCCTGGTAGAGGCTAGTGTTTTCTTATTTACATTCTATATTAATCTATTTTTCCCTAATCTATTCTATTCTTATCTATACAACTCCATTCAAAACTGTGACCTAGTTTCAAATACTGTCCAGGTAGAGTATGAAACAGCCATGTTTCATACCACATTGAAAAAAGGTAACACTATAAATATGCCAAAATTACAAAGAAGAAAAAGCTATGAGTTTATAAAAGCATTTATAAAACACACCTTGTGGGCCTGTGGCACTAAAAAAAATTAAGCTAACAGCTCATAATCAGGTTCCTTGTAGAAAGATGGAAATACTGTGAATATTGGGCTGTATTTCCACTGGGCAACTATCAGCAGGAGCCAAGAAGTAAAAAGCCTCCTTTGGATGAAAGGTGCATGTTCCAGTGGACCACAATCCCAAACACTGCCTACTGTATTTCTCTTAAAAGCGTCAGTTTCTCTTTACCATTACATTGGCACTCTTACTTTCATTTTAAGAGTAATCTGTTTTCCAGTGTCTCTATCAAAAGTAGATAAACAAAAGAAAAGCCCAACACAAAACAAAACAAAACCAACAATAAAAAAGAAACCCAAAGCAGCGTTTCAAGAAAAAGGAAGGAAATAAATATCAGAACCATTTTACACATGTACCTGTGGAAGAAAAGGGGCCACACTAAACCTGACTAGCTCAGGGGAGGTCTGCGTAGTGGCCTTACAAACTCAGAGACTTACAGTAGCCATGTAACATGGTCTGAAATGAAAGCTTTCTAACTAAAAGCAGTTCATGGTGGGTAGTCGTGTCCTAAGCGGGTATTTTTTCTAATAAAAGTTAATCTTTACCTTAACTGAGCCTGTCTGTTGATTTTGCATCTATGCTAACAGACCTTAGGAATGTCAAACTTCCTTCTACCAGGCCCTCAAAGCACAGGCACAGCATCATGGGGAGATCACAAATCCCCTTGTTGTTACTCTTATCGTGTTAACTGTTGACTGTTAACTATGTTGTACCCAGTAGTGTAAGAAATATGTGTGTATCATTTTATTTTTTATCTGATCCCAGAGGTTTCCCCACTTTGTTTTCTCCCCCCTCCCTAATCTGTCACCAGTGGACTTCATGTAACCCCCTTACACCTCCCCTTTTGATTGCGATGTATAAAATAAGGTGTAAAACTGCCATTCTCCGGAGCATTTTTTCAATTCGTTGTAGTTTTGCTTCTCAGCAGTTGTCAGTTTGGCTCAAATAAATTCACAAAAATTCTCCACAGGTTTGAATGTTTCTTATGTTGACATACACCATCTGGACTCTGCAGGCATTTGCAAATTGCAACTCCTGAAATAAAGGATGGAAAAGCCTGTGATTAATGGATGTATTAGAAGCTAGAAGCAAAGTAGAGTGAGAGAAGCAGAGACTGGGTATAATAATCGTATTAATTGCAGAACATGAAAGTGAAGTCTCACGAACTGCTGCTGTTGGTATATGAATATGTAACTAAACTGGGATAAGTTGAGGCTAGTAAATTTATGTTCTCAGGAATTAGAATTGGGCTACCAAAAGTAATCATATTAGCAAAAGGAACTGAGGCTGAACGACACACAGGAAACTAACACAATGCAGAAATGAAGCTGTGATCAGTGGATTGAGTGCGTGCCTGCAAACTAAAGGGTCACCAGGTCATTTCTCAGTCAGGGAATATGCCTGGGCAAAAAAAAAAAAAAAAAAAAAAAAAAAAAAGAGGCCATGAGAGGCACAAGCAAGCAAATCTTATGACAAGGGTGAAGCCCTAAGTAAGCAGAGCCTTATAAATTAAAAACATGAGGTAGGAAAATAAGATAAAACAACATAGACAGGCAAACCAATAATTAATGGGAGAAATAAAACACAAAAGATACCCAAAAAGAGTAGCACAGTTATGCAAATGGCACTATCCTAAAATGAATATCCATAAACTCCTGCCTCTGAGTTTCCCAGAGGTTCTCTGGAGCCAGGTACCATCCTTTAAGAGTATAACCATATTAAGATCCCCTATATTTGGAATTTCATGTGATCTCAGACACCATTATTCCCAAGTGGCTAGCCAATAACCTGTCATTATCTCACTGAATTTGTTTCTAGCAATCAGAAGTGCCCAACCAAGCTCTGGCTGGTGTGGTTCAGTGAATTGAGTGCAGGCCTGTGAACCAAGGGGTTGCTGGTTGGATTCCCAGTCAGGGCACATGCTTGGGTTATGAGCCAGGTTCCCAGCAGGGGGTACATGAGAGGCAAATACATATTCATGTTTCTTTCTCTTTCTTCCACCCTTCTCCTCTCTCTAAAAATACAATCTTTAGCCCTGGCTGGTGTAGCTCAGTGGATTGAGCACAGGCCTGCAAACCAGAGAATCGTGGTTTGATTCCCAGTCAGGGCACATGCCTGGGTTGCAGGCCAGTTCCCAGCAGGGTACTCATGAGAGGCAACCATACATTGATGTTTCTCTCCCTCTCTCCTTTCCTTCCCCTCTAAACATAAATAAATAAAATCTTTAAAAAAAATTAATTCTCACCCAAGGATGTTTGCTGATTTTGAGAGAAAGTGGAAGGGAGGGACATGGATTGGTTACCTCCCATAGATGCCCCAACCAGGGATGGAACCTGAAACCTCTCAGTGCATGAGATGACACTACAACCAACTGAGCCACCCAGAGTAAAATTTAGATTTTATGTACATTAGAAGGTGACACTTTGAGAGACTTGGTATATGCTGTAGTCAAGCTGTATAGAACTACAAGATGTTTAGCTGTAGAGAGCTAAACCAGAGAGAATAAAGTAGACACATCATAGTGTTGCCCATGCCCAAAATTCTTCTAAAGGAAACTACTGCAAACAGGCTTGACTAAGAAAGCATTCTTGTGACCAACTATCCCTCCTCTGAATCTATGGTTGGTCAGATCAAAGGTAAGTAAGGATCAGAGGACAGACATCCACAAGCTGGTCAATAGCCTATGACATGTCATGACATGAAAGCTGTTCCCAAACAAGTATGAGGTAAGAAATTAGATTCAGCTTAAAATTGAGGAAAATAGAGGAACAGAAATTCAGCATCTGAAATAAATGAATGCATACATAATGAAAGAACATACCAGAAACAATTTAATTAAGATCAATATGTTAGTAAGCACAGGAGTCAGAAGCTAAAAATAAGCAGAAACAATCCATGGGCAATAGGATAAAGAGCAGAAAATAAGGAAGCCAGTTAGTACCAGGAAGAGACTCATGGATATGAGGAAAGTAGGATCGTGTAGTTATCTATGAAACTGTTACTTCCCAAAATGGTCAGGTATGATTCTTCTGGTTACCTTCTAGTTTTAGAGCAGTTAAATGGTTCTGGATATACCTATGATAGCTGAGTTGTATTAGTCTAAAGCAGTTTGGGATCATACAAAGGGGAAGAAAGACATTTGCATTTAGCACTCAATAGGGGAAAATGTCCTAGATCAGCCAAATAGCAACTGCAACCTCTACATTCTCAGGAAACTTAACAACCCAAGGCAATCAGATTCTCAATTTAATGACAACTGGGCAGCATGAAGAACAAGAGCTAAAGCACTTAATCTGCAGACAGAGACATGAGGTAGAATAAATGCCATGTCCACACAGCTTGCAAACAGTAAAGTTATGAATAAGAAAAAAATGTAAGGATTCAGTAGCTAGGAGGTAGAGGAAGTCAAAGTATAAGAAAATTAGTTGGTAGCAGATGCAACATATCAGGCAGAAAAACAGGAAAAAGGCTGAGTCACATTAATGATACCACAACAGTCAAATTCTGTAAACTTTAAATTAGATTGTTATTTTTTATTGTATTTTTCCCATTACCATTTATTCTCCTTATACTCCCTTCCCCCCCTGTAAACTTCTTAAACTGATTCAAATGAGCCCATTTCTTGCAATAAAATTTGCAAGGAAGACACTTTTGAAAAGGAATATAGGTGAAAAACTGCTCTAAGAAGTTACAAGGGGAGATGAGAGGCACAAACATGAGGAAGCCCAGAACGACTAAGCAGAAACTATGAGAGCAAAGGTTCTAAGAGGAAAATATCACAGATTTGGTATTGGCAAACTACAGCCCATGGGCCAAATCCAGCCACCACGTTTTTTTATAACCAGGGTATTTTTGAAACAGACACATTTTTCATTTATATATTATCTATGGCTGCTTTCATGCTACAATGGCAGAAGCCATATGGCCCACAAACCTGACAAAGATTGCCCCTCCAACCTCAAAACTCACTTTTGAACAGGGAAAAAAATAGTAAAAAAAAAAAAAATTATGACTTCGGGCAAGATGGAGGTGTAGGTGGATACATTGTGCCTCCTCGCACAACCAAAATAAGGATAAAAACAATTTAGAAACAAAATAACAACCAGAACTGACAGAAAATTGAACTGTATGGAAGTCAGACAACCAAAGAGGTAAAATAGACACATTCATCCAGACCAGTAGGCGTGGTGGAGTTGGGGCACTGAGCGGACAGGGGTTGCGGCACAAAAAGCTGTGGTACTAGGCCTGCAAGGCACCCCAGGCACATAAGACAGCAGCAGGTAGACCCTGGGCATGCTGGTGGCGGCTGGCAGACCCTGGGTGAGGGGTGGCAAAGGGCAGACCCAGTGAGACAGCAATTGTGAAGCAAGGCACTGCATGCAAGGCAGCTGGCTGACTGGGAGGTCCCACATTCGTGGGCAGATAAACCAGGTGAAACAGGAGCAAGACAGACTGCAACCCAGGGTCCCAGTGCCGGGAAATAAAGCCTTAAAACACCAATTGAAAACACCTGTGGGGGCTGACATGTAGGAGAAACTCCCAGCCTTACAGGAGAGTTCCCTGGAGAGACCCACAGGTTCCCAGAATGTACACAAGCCCGCCCACCCACCTCGAATCCACCAGAAAGGCTCAGTTTGCTCGGGGAAAGTAGCGGAAGTGACTGAAACTCAGCAGAGAGTGGAGCCAGCACCATTATTCCCTCTATGACCCCGCCCCCAAATACAGCATCATGACCCACAGATGTGGGTTGTCCCGCCCTGGAGAATACCTAAGGCTCCGCCCCTCATTATGTAACAGGCATGACAAGACAAAGAAAATAGCCCAAATGTAAGAACAGATCAAAGCTCCACAGCAAATACAATTAAGCAGCAAAGCCATAGCCAACGTATCAGAAGCACAGTTCAAATCACTAGTAATCAGGATGCTCACAGAATTGGTTGAATTTAGTCATAAATTAGATGAACAAATGAAGGCTACGCTAAGTGAAATAAAGAAAAATGTACAGGCAACCAATAGTGATGGAAAGGAAACTAGGACTCAGATCAATGAAGTGGACCAGAAGGAAGAAAGAAACAACCAAACAGAAAAGAAGGAAGAAACAAGAATTCAAAAAGATGAGGAGAGGCTTAGGAACCTCCAGAACATCTTTAAACGCTCCAACATCCGAATTATAGGGGTACCAGAAGGGGAAGAGGAACAGAAACAACTGGAAAAGTTATTTGAACAAACAATAAAGGAGAATTTCCCCAATGGTAAAGGAAATAGACTTTCAGGAAGTCCAGGAAGCTCAGAGAGTCCCAAAAAAGTTGGACCCAAGGAGGAACACACCAAGGCACATCATCATTACATTAGCCAAGATTAAAATGAAGGAGAGAATCCTAGAAGCAGCAAGAGATAAGGGGACAGTCACCTACAAAGGAGTTCCCATCAGACTGTCAGTGGATTTCTCAAAAGAGACCTTGTAGGCAAGAAGGGGCTGGAAAGAAGTATTTCAAGTCATGAAATGCAAGGACCTACATCCAAGATTGCTCTATCCAGCAAAGCTTTCATTTAGAATGGAAGGACAGATAAAGTGCTTCTCAGATAAGGTCAAGTTGAAGGAGTTCATCATCACCAAGCCCTTATTATATGAAATGTTAAAGGGACTTATCTAAGAAAAAGAAGATCAAAAACATGTATAGTAAAATGACAGCAACCTCACAATTATTAACAATCACACCTAAAACAAAAACAAAAACAAACTAAGGAAACAACTAGAACAGGAACATAAACACAGAAATGGAGATCACATGGAGGGATAGCAACAGGGGAGTGGGAAGAGGAGAGAGTGGGAGAAAGGTACAGAGAATAAGCAGCATAGATGGTGGGGAGAAAATAGATGAGAGGGTAAGAACAGTATGGAAAATGTAAAAACTAAAGAACTTAAGACACATGGACATGAACTAAAGGGAGGGAATGTGGGTGGGAGAGGGTGTGCAGGGTGGAGGGGAATGAAGGGGGGAAATGGGACAACTATAATAGCATAATCAATAAAATATATTTTAAAAAATCAAATGAAACAGAAAAATAAAATTTAAACCAGCAAATTTAGCTAACCTAATTCAAATCCTTGAAAAGTAGAAAATTTTACTCTACATATGTAAGGTAGGTTCATAGGTTCATTATTAGGAAATCTGTTAAATATAACAAATACAAGAAAAAGCTCAAAGAAAAAATTTACCTCCATATTCAACAATCACTTCCTTGACTAAGATACCCATTCCTTTATCCAGATCACATTTTAAGATTTCAATGGAAGGATTAATTTTTTCTAAATCTGAAAGATAAATTTAGGGTTTGACATGCAAATGATAAAAACTGCAGCACCCCCCCCATACCTTAATTGTTAAAATAGTGATTTATATCCAAAGTAACTTCTGTATTAGATTCACTTATGGGTAGAAGATATTTGCTGGTAAAGAAAGTAAACACTAGAGCTAATAATGTAAGTATAAGAACAAACAACAGATATATAAAGACAAAGTCACTATGGTAAGGAAGAGGAACCTCAAGGGATGGTAATAACATGGCCTATAAAGATTCTCTCCCTCCTTTAAGAACTCCAGCCAATGTCTACATAACTATTAGGTCATACACATAAAACACCAATCACAGGACACTTTCCTGTCCTGATTCAAGTATAGCTGTGTTATTGTTATTGTATTAGATGTAGTGTGAGTAAAACTTACCCTGAATGTTTGCTTTAATGTATCATTTCAAGTATTTTTGTTCTGAAGTCTTTGTATATGTATACCTTAGTGTGGGGATCACATGCTAAGTCCCATGGGCTGTATCCAGGCTGCTGCCTGTTTTGGTAAATAAAGTTTTACTGGAACACAGTCCTACCGACTTGTTTCCATATTGTCTATGACTCCTTTCCTGCTACAGAGCAGGGCAATGTATTGAAATTAGGGTAGAGTCATAATTAGGAAACATGAGTTGTAACTTTTTGGATACGTGAGAATAGCTAAATAGTAAAGTGGTTAATCAGAAAATGAATAAATTGGGAGAATCATATATGGTGTATGAATAACTACAATGAAGCATATAAAACATGGTTATTTCTGTACACATAAGCCCAATTTGTGAATATGCTTTCTTGGTGAACTTAATTTGAGTAGGAAAAAATTCAAAGGACAAATTGTCTACTCTGAGTTCCATACTTTCTAAAATTAGCTACAAATCCAAGTCCTACAGAAAAGAAAATGGGTTGGAAGGGAACAAGTATTTGTAAACATAGTACATTTAACCTATGCCAGGAGTTAGCAAACTTTCTGTGTAGAGGCAGATGGTAATACTTCAGGTTCTATGGGTCATCTGATCTTTGTTGCAATTACTCAACTATACTATAGCACAAAAGTTAGTGGTGGATAATAAAGAATGAGCATGGTGGTTCCAACGAAAATTTATTTACAGCCTTGGCTGGTGTGGCTCAGTGGATTGAGTGCTGGCCTGTGAACCAAAGGGTCACCCAGTCAGAGTACATGCCTGGGTTGTGGGCCAGGCCCCCAGTAGGGGGTGCACAAGAGTCAACCACACACTGATGTTTCTCTCACTCTTTCTCCCTCCCTTCCCCACTCTCTAAAAATAAATAATAAAATTTACTTATAAAAACAAGCAGCTGGCATGTGGAGCATAGCCTGCCAATCCCTCATCTATGCTAATTATCTGGACACTGCTACCTTACTAGCAATAACATTTATGAAAGTATTCATTGATAGGTTTTGTTGTTTTCCACATGATACAAACAGAGTAATTTTACCAGTACTGTCTGCTAACAGAATGCAATGTTTATATGGAATTCTAGCCAGGATATGCTTATCTGCACAGCAGGCTACATCAGCACCTGATGTACCTGCACCTGAATTAACATTCTGCAAGTGATGGGATTTTCAGTTGTAACTCCAGTTCTTATGATTCCTCTTTCTTTGGTGTAGAAAAAGCATAACCTGATAGAAACTGTCTAACATAAACATCATGAAGGAGAGTGGGGTGATAATATCATGAAAGGTGAGAAAAAAAGATAAACAAGTGGTGAATGGCTGTGTGGAATAGAAATAAATGCTAGTCCATGCTAAGTGGTCATCTCTTAAAGTTAAAGGGACCTACACATCCCTTGCACCATCTGTCTTGCACAACTAAATCTCCCTTTGAGAATGAACTCTTTACATGTGCACCTATGGTCTGAAAGAATACACTGATGAGGATTTCACAAGGAGGCAGTAAGTCCCAACAACTTAGAATTCACCTGCCACATTCTAGTGCTTTGAGTATAGTGAAGTAATTAAGATCTCTGAAGTATGACCCTGGCTGGTGTGGCTCAGTGGATTGAGTGCTGGCCAGCGAACCAAAGGGTCACTGGTTCGATTTCTAGTTGGGGAACATACCTGAGTTGCCAGTTTGGTCCCTGGTTGGGGGCATGTGAGGGGCAACCAATTGATGTTTCTCTCCCTGCCTTTCTCCCTCCCTTCCCCTCAGTTTAAAAAAAAAAAAGATCTCTAAAGTGCGGCATATATAGTTCCACCTCTGGCTCCCTGTGTTATGTGAGTGACATAACTTCTCTGTTCCTCAGTTTATTATCTGTAAAGTACAAACAATTTTACTTCTCAGAGTTATTGTTAAGTTAAAATGAGGTAACAAATATGTGTAAAGCACTCATCTAGAACATAAAAGGCACTTTTAAGTGAGAAGTGCTACTATTAATGTGACTTTAAAAAGGAAATTTTCAAAAGTTGTGCGTGGATGCTAGATGACTAACCTAAGGAGAAAGGAAACCCTTAACCTAAGGAAAAAATTAAACAGATCTGCTGTTACAGGAGGAGGATGGATAACAAGTATAGGTAAGTCCTAGGAAAAAAACTGGGGTTCAGTGAGCAAAAGCCACATTTATACAACCCATTTGTCCCATTCAGAGAAAGAGACAAGAGGACTTTTTATAAACAACATGCTAACATTCTTATCTGTATACATGAGCATTGTTATTTTAAAATATATTGTGCTGGAGGGCAGGGAATACAAGGATTACCTTTGTATCAACCTCCTTTGTATTCCAGGCTTCTCCTTAGGTAAAAGCCAATTTTTCTATCATTTGAGTTCCCTCTGTGGGCTAATCTACCTAATTCTATCAGTAGGAATTAGCCTAGTACTCCAGAGTCTATAACAAGAACATTATGCTCAGAAGATACTATCTCAAGACCATTCTCATGAGAAAAAGTGAACTTTATTACTTCCATGAAAAATGGCATGGAGTGATATGGCCTTCAGGTATTAACTCTGGATGGAGGCACTAGGAGCTTAAGATAGGAGTGGGTAGCCTCTGGTCCCAAGAAGGGCCATTTTATAGATGCTGCCTACTTTAATGATGGGACATTTCAATTCTCTCTGAGGCCTATTAGGGGTTAAAAGGAGGTTCCCTAAGGAGCCAGAAAAAGAATGCTAGTTGTTGGAAACTGCCCTGCATGCTTTTGGAAGCTATAACCCCTCATGGCTAAGGCTGAGCGAGCGACCTTCAGACCATAAGCCGCTAAGGAGACAAAGCTTACCTTCCTGGCAGAAGTGCTACTTCTCCTTTTACTTCATCCATAACTGGCCCCCAATGCTTGGTCAGTTAGCCAATGACAGGTAAGATTCCCCAAGGAGAAAACGACCTAAGACAGGCATGATCATGTGGAGGCCCCAGGGAAGGACTTGGGGTGCTATAGCAAAAGGGGGTGATGGACCCTTGCCCCTTGGCTTTGACATAGCCTGAGTTCTCATTGTGTCTTCAAGAAGTCTCCTAATGTCTTGGCTGCCTTACCACCCCCCCCCACCCCCACCTTAACTCAGGCCCGAGTTAAGCCTGAAACAATGCCAGTGGTGGGGGCCACCCTGTGTTGGAAAGAGTGGGTTCCCTAGGATGATCAGATCTAAGAAAGAATATGTAAAATCCTGTGAAACCTGCTTTGCTTAGAATGTTCTCAATTAAATGATAAGGGTCCAAGCAAGAAGTGAGTTTGTTCCTCCAAGTTTTATGGCTCTTTAGCTATCTGACCCTGACTCAAAATAGGCCCTCAGAGTTCTTTGTATGTTTGATTCTCACTGCCTGATAGTGATTAATGAGCTTTACCTGTATTCTTGTGCAAAATGAACCCAATAAAAGCCTGTCAAGGCAAGGGTCAGGACACTCTTTCCCTTAAGAGAGTGGCTAGACCTCTCTGAGGCACTCCCCACTTAAGGGAGTAGCTGTGCTGTCCCTTTTCCTCCACAGGGCTCAGTAGTCTGTGTGAATGTCTTGTTTCTCATCCATAATGCTGTGGACACTGCGGGTCAGTGTCTGCATCAGCTAGTCCAATTGGTTTAACAGGAGTGTAGTTCAGAAGACCCTGCTGCCTCTGAAATTACTAAGCCAAAGTGCCATATACTTGGCTGCCACTGAAACCATCAGCCTCTTGCTATGAGCTGACTTTTAACAAAATATATGCAGCTCCATAGTCTGATAAAGAAAAACTCTCAATAGCCTGTTTTGAAAGAAGAAACCCTCTCTTCAAGGTAAGTGTAATTAGTGTTATGTTGACATTATTTGTGACACGCAGCTTATGCTTCCTAGTTTAGTGGGAACCATTTCAGTTTTTCTGGTACTCAGCAGGGGTGATCACAAACTTGGAAAGAATATAATCTACTCCAATTATTTTGAGAAAAATGTATTATAGAGTAAATTGCAGGCTTTAAAAGTATTGGGCCCTAGAAATGATATTTTTAAGAGCCTCCCTGACAGAATTCAGGGCAAAGTCAGGCTTTCTTCCCTTAGTTACCTCAATCGCTGAGAGGACCCCTTCTCCCACTGCATGTTCATTCACATGGAAGATCTGGTGAATTCTCTGAAAATGCTTTTCAAAGATATCCTTTACAATTTAGCCTAATGAAGGGATACAAAAAGAAAAAAGATTACTTTGATCATCTTTGACTATCCCATACTCAGTGCTGGTATGGTAGTAAAAGGGAAAATGGAGAAACCAGGGGAAAATTTCATTTGCTATTGCAATAACAAAAATAAAGTACCTAGGAATAAATTTAAACAAGGAGGTAAAAGACTTTTCTCAGAAAACTACAGAACACTGAAGAAAGAAATCATGGAAGACACAAATAAGTGGGAGCATATACCCTCTTCTTGGGTTGGAAGAATTAACATCATTAAAATGTCCATACTACCCAAAGAATCTATAGATTCAACCCAGTCCCTATTAAAGTACCAATGGCATATTTCACTGATCTAGAACTTATACTCCAAAAATTTATATGGAACCATAAATGACCTGAATAGCATCAGCAATCTTGAGAAAAAAGAACAAATGTGGAGGGATCACAATACTTGACCTCAAACTGTATTACAAGGCCACTGTAATCCAAACAGCCTGGTACTGTCATAAGAACAGACACATAGATTAATGGAATAGAATAGAGAACCCAGAAATAAATCCATGTCTCTATAGTCAATTAATACTCGACAAAGGGAGCAGAAGCATCAAATGGAGTAAATATAGCCTCTTCAATAAATGGTCTGGAGAGAACTGGACTGGTATATGTCAAAAAAAAAAAAAAACAGAAAAAAGAAACAAAGAAAGAAACTGGACCACCAACTTACACCACACACCAGAATAAACTGAAAATGGATAAAAGACTTATATATAAGTTGCAATGCCATAAAAGTCCTAGAGGAAAACATAGGCCATAAAATTTCAGATATCCCACATGGCAATATTTTTGTCAACGTATCTCCTACAGCAAGGAAAATAAAGGAAAAAAACCCCAAAACAAATAGGACTACATCAAACTAAAAAGCTTCTGCACAGCTAAAGAAACCATCATGAAAATGAAAAGGAGCCCTGACTGGGGTTGCTCAGTGGACTGAGTGTTGGTCTGTGAACCAAAGGGTTGCTTGCTGGTTTGATTCCCAGTCAGGGTATATGCCTGGGTTAAGAGCCAGGTCCCCAGTTGGGGGCGCACAAGAGGCAACCACACACTGATGTTTCTCTCCCTCTCTTTCTCCCTTCCTTCCCATCTCTCTAAAAACAAACAAACAAATACATACATAAATACATAAATAAAAACAAAATGAAGAGGGAGCCAACTGTATGGAAGAACACATTTGCCAATGATTCATCAGACAAGGGTTTAATCTCTAAAATATATAAAGAACTTATACAACTGAATACCAGGAAGACAAAAAATCCAGTTAAGAAATGGGCAAAGAACCTGAATAGATACTTCTCTAAGGAGGACATACAGGCAGCCTACAGACATATGAAAAGATATTCATCACTAGCCATCAGAGAGATATAAATTAAAACCACAATGAGCTATCACCTCACATCTGTCAGAATGGCTATCATTTAATAAATCAACAAACAAGTGCTGGTGAGGATATGGAGAAAAGGGAACCCTGGCACAGTGTTGGTGGGAATGTGGACTGGGGCAGCCACTGTGGAAAACAGTATTGATTTTCCTCAAATAATTAAAAGTGGTTATACCCTATGAATCCCAAAACACCAGTTTGGAAGAACCTATGCACCCCAAAGTTCATAGCAGCACAATTTACAATAGGAAAGTGCTGGAAACAGACTAAGTGCCCATCAGCACATGAGTGGATCAAAAAAGAGTTGTACGTTTACACATTGGAGTACTATGCAGCAGAAAGAAAGAACTCCTACCTTTTACAACACACGGATGGAACTAGAGAGCATTATGCTAAGTGAAATAAGTTATTTGGTGAAAGATGAATACCATATGACCTCACTTACAAGAGGAATCTAATAAACAAAGTAAACTAAGCACCAAAACAGAATCAGAGACATAGAAGCATGAAACAGACTGACAGCAGCCAGATGAGAGTGGGGGAGGGGGATAACGGTGGAAAGAAGGGGAAGGGATTAGTCAAAGAACATGTATGAACAACCTGTGGACATGGACTGTGAGAATAGGGGGTGTGCTGGGCAGAGGAGGTTAAAGGGAGAAAAACTAGGACACGTATAATAGAATAACAATAAAAAGGGGGGAATGGGGAGTGGAGGGAAAATGCAAGGTGTTACATAGCCTACCCCAACTATTTTTTAATTTAATTGTTGTTCAAGTACAGTTTTCTGTCTTTTACTCCCATCCCAGCCCACCCCCCAGTACTATTTTTAATGCAACTTTCACACCAGGATGAAAAAATTTCTCCTAACAGTTATAATATGTTATGCATCTACTTGTTATTTATTTATTTTTCTACTCTCACAAGAATGAAAGTTCCATGATGGTAGAAATTCATTAATATCTAGAACAGTCTCTGACACTTAGTAAGCATTTAATCACGGTCTGTTGAAGGAAGGGAGCAAGTGTTACATTACAATCATCTCTTCTCTACCAGTACCTGGACAATCCCACCCAGACCACCAGCTTACCAAAGGCCTCTCAACTGCCTCAGAACATCCAGAGCAATGGTGATTCACTGTGGCTCGCTAGAACTCTCTGAACAAAAAGCCTCAGTATTAGTGACAGGTAGGCTTTAGTGTTGCTCTTGACCAATGACAAGTTCTGGCTGCCTAGGAATCTGCATTTTTAACAAACATCCCAGGTTATTTTATGCACAATAAAGTTTTACACCATGGAAATTTCCTTCATCAGAGAAGCACAATTTCAGAGGCTATTATAAAAATCTTTTAGTGTGGAATAAAAATGTTTCTGTCTCACATGGCCTTTCTGGACTTAGATATAGTCTAGAGGAAGTACAGTACTGTACTGTACTTCAAATAGAAGTACTGTTTAGATTCAAATCCATTTTTTACACCAACTAGCTATAATGTTGGGAAAGATATCCGATTCTTCTATCTGTAAAAAAATGGGAGAATGAGAACGGGAGAGATTAGGTTGATTACTGTCAGGTATAATTTGAATATTTTAAGACCTTTTTTCATATCATAATAGGAAAATGCCAGGTGTTTAAACACCTAGTGGTTATTAAGACTACCTTTCCTGCCCTTTCCAACTAAGTTGGCAAGCCCACCAAAGCCACTGACCACTTACCAAGACTTCAGAATGGTTTGACAACCACATGCAAGATGCTGATTTGAGTCTCTCCGAATTCTCTAGTAATCTCACTGGGGCAGGCAGGGCTCAATATACTTCTTTACCAGTGGCATGGGTTTTGATCGCATTTATTGGCACCTGTAAGATTGGGAGAAGGAAGAAGAAAACATGTAAGACAGACAGTCAAGGTTTGAAAACTTGTTTTAATTTTACTTTTACTACATTAGTCAAGTCATCCAACCCACACCACGAACCTCAGATTTCGCCTGTACTAAGCATTATTACTGGCATCACAAGTATGTTCTTTATCTGACAAAGGTTGCTACACTGTGTACAATTATTTAATAAGGATTTTTGTCTCCATTTTAAATAAGATAAAACTTTTATAACTTGGGTACAGAGTCACCAAGGAACTGTATAAAAGTGTTAGAATGCAGATGTGAACTCTGATGGTTACCTTTTTAGCTGCCTGCAAGTCCTTTCCTCTTTAGATCTCAATATTCCTGTATTTGAATGCAGGTAAACTTGATTTCTTAGAGGTCCTTCTATGTATGTCAGGCAATTATGACCTTTTGTTCTGTACTCCTGAATAAAAGAGCCCTGTAAAAATGAATGAAACATCCACCTAATAATCAAATGGCATTTGGTTCACATTGATGAAAAAAAGTAATAAAACCCTTGGCTCTGTACCAACGCCTGTTATTTACAATCTCAACTCCCACCAGGATTCACCTTACCCATATATGAAAAGTAATGGAACATATCTTTTCCCCTATTAACTGTCTGCATTACAAAAAGAATCACAAACAAGGAGCTATACAGGCCCTTGGTAGTCCTTTTTCTACAAGACTCAAACACTTAGGAGGAATAGCACTCTGAGACATGAGAGTCAACACAGGATAAGCCAAAGACAACCCCAAAGGGTGCTTCTTTCTAAAGAAGCACCTACTATGGCCTCTAGGTTTCCCAGTTCCTAGCTGCTTAGCATGAATAGCAACCCAGGATTCTGGCAATTCAGCAATGGCCAAAAGCCCAGGCTATTAATTATTATCATTAGGTGCTGGCAGCATCAGCTAGTACTTCTAGGTTTCCTGTACTCACTGTGAGGCAGGCACCCCTCAAATCCTAGAAAAGAATTTCTCAGGGATTATTTTTAACTATTTTACCCACCACCAGCAAAAAAAAGCACGTTCTTTTGTCTACTCATGATCAGGAGATCCCAGCAAAAAGCTCTCCCAGTACAGATCTGTGCTGCCAAAAATGTGTGTGTGTGTGGGGGGGGGGCAGGTTACCAGGGACAGGAGCCTTGATGGATTTGAGCCATCTGTTTTTTTTTAATTAAAGATCTTATTTATTTTATTTTTAGAGAGAGGGGAAGGAAAGGAGAGAGGGTGAGAAACATCAATGTGTGGTTACCTCTCGCACGCCCCCTTCTGGGGACCTGACCCACAACACAGGCATGTGCCCCAACTGGGAATTGCACCTGTGATCCTTTGCTTTGCAGGCCTGCACTCAATCCACTGAACTATACAAGTCAGGTGAGCCATCTCCTTATTGGATAGGGTAAAGCAGCCATTACTAGAGCAAAATCTGCATGCCCACAAGCATCTGCTGCCACTAGCAATTAAAGAAATATGTAGAGGGTCTAATTGGGAAATAAATGGTAAGTGTAAACTCTGATATGTGAAAATACCTACACTAAGAACCAAGAATAGAATAGTTGATACTTAGTACATTCCTCTCAAGAAAGAAATCTTATTTCCACCACTCCCTTCTCCTAGACCACCCAGCAATTTTCCAAACTAAATTGCCCCAGTTTCTAGCCCCCTCACCATCCCATTTATTCCACTTTTATTCAGGTCAGCAAAGTTGAAAATGAAAATAATTTCAATGTTTGCCTAATTTTGCAAGTCATAAAGGCACATTTTGGTTCACAGGCCAGTACTCAATACACTGAGCCATAAAGGCACATTTTTAAAAAATTCCAGAAATACATTAAAAGAAAGTAAAAATCCCAAAATCCCAGAAAGTGTAACACTTGGGACATTTTCTCCTAATTACTTTCATATGCATATATGAACATGAATTTTTCCCACAAAATTTAGATGAAACCATACTACTGTTCTGTAGCCTTTTTTCAATTAATATACCATCTATGTCTTTGCTCATGTGATCTGTTTTAAATATAATAATGTATTTTATGAATGTAAGCATTTATTACTAAGAGAACTACAAAGATGAGTATCCCTTTTGCCCTTGAGCTTAAATGAAGGGATGTTACCGAACAAGAGGTCTGAGGGGGGTTAATATTTGGCCCACCTAGGGATGCCAAAAACTGCTACAGAACAGGGGCCCCTCCCAAGGATAGAATACTAATATCTACTGGGCTCTTCTGTCCGCCGCCAATTGGAAAGACATCTCTCAATGCCAGAGATTTGTGAAAAGGAAACAAAATGTTTATCTAATGCTATTCAGGCCTAACGCCTCCACTAAAATATCAAAGTCTTTTAGGGTATACACCTACACCCACACAGTGCTCCCTTCTCCCACTGTCCCAACTCCGGGTACTGTAAATCAGGAAAAGAGCACACATCTGTGTTTCAGGCCGCTGGCACCATCAGCTGTGTCAGGCAGAATCTCTAGTTAATCCAAAAATCATGTGGCACCCTCTCACGGTCCACTGGCAAGAGTTCTTTGTACCCAGTTCCACTCAAAGTCTCTCCTGCTTTTCAGGCCATGCAGCCAAAGGGGGCACCCCAAAGCCACGTGGGCCTCTTCTATCAAAGCTGCAGGGGTTCGCACTCCACCAAAAGCATGTGGCTTTCTTCTTCACCTGCCTGCAGGGACCTCCATTCTGGCAAAGCTGCGTGGTTTTCCCTTTCACCTGGGCAAGAGGGGGTCCTCACTCTGCTGAAACCACTTGGCTCTCTCTCTTCAACGGCTGCAGGGGTCCTCACTCTGCCCCAAACTGCGTAGCTCTCCCTTCACCTGGGCAGTTATCCCCTCATGTCCCGGACTCAATCTTTTTCCAAGATCTCACACAGGCCCTGTTACTCAGGGGTGCAGCCCCTAGTTACATCCTGGGTAGAAGCCACTCCCTTCTTCCTGGCTCAAAACTTGGCCACAGCTATTGAACATATCTATGAAACCAGTTAAAGGTTATAGATATGTTCAATAATCATTCCAGAGGTTAGGTACAAAACTGTTGCTATGCAAAACAGCTCTTAATGGCCCTGCTTTATTGATCTCTTCCCCCTGGGCAGGGAGTGAGGACATCTTATATGTCTCTCCAATATTCCTATACACTTTGAATTCTGGACACCATTCCAAATCTTTTTTTGCCCCCCCCCCCCCTTGGCTGCACCCTGTATCAGGGATACAGACACAAAAAGGTAACATTCACCATTACTGTAAAGATCAATTACATTTCAGTTTGTGGTGCTTCCTAATTAACTGTACAGTTACTTTTAATAGAAAAGGTCCAAAAGAATGTTATTACATAATAGTTTAAATTAAAAATCTATTTGCTGCTGTGGCTGGTGTGGCTCAGTGGATTGAGTGCCAGCCTGCAAACCAAGGGGTCACCAGTTTGATTCCCAGTCAGGGCACATGCCTGGGTTGTGGGCCAGGTCCCCAGTGAGGGGCATGCAAGAGGCAACTGCACATAGGTGTTTCTTTCCCTCTTTCTCCTTTCTGAAAATAAATAAATGAAATCTTTTTTAAAAAATGCATTTGCTAAAAGTCCAAGGAGCTGTGCTAGTGCTGAGTATCACCTCAGTTGGCATTTGATGTGAATTCATTGTAAAGAACCACATGGAAGCCACTCAGAAAACCACTTGCTCCATAAGCCAGTGAAGTGAATGAAGTATAGGGCAGTACATTGTTGGAAGGATTCATTGACACTGTACCACTTCTTCCATCTTTTCTTTTCTATTATTTCCAGTAAACAACAATGAGCTGCAACCATTATCTCTCAGAAACAAAATGGTTTCTGATTGTGGGACTCTCATTTCCAAGCACATCTGCTTATACATAATTATGTTACAGTGGTATCCATGCCAACTTGGAAAATACAGATAAGAATCAAAAGGAACTATTTTTTCAGCACCATTGATACAGAGTGCAGCCAAGGGGGGGAGGCCCCCCAAAAAGATTTGGAATAGTGTCCAGAATTCAAAGTGTATAGGAATATTGGAGAGACATATAAGATGTCCTCACCCCCCACCCCAGGGGGAACAGACAAATAGAGCCAGGACCATTGAGAGCTGTTTTGCATAGCAACAGTTTTGCAGCTAACCTCTGGAATGATTATTGAACATATCTATAACCTTTAACTGGTTTCATAGATATGTTAAATAGCTGTGGCCAAGTTTTGAGCCAGGAAGAAGGGAGTGGCTTCTACCCAGGATGTAACTGGGGGCTGCACCCCTGAGTAACAGGGCCTGTGTGAGAGCTTGGAAAAGATGGGCTCCAGGACAGGAGACGTGGCAGTCATTGAAGGGAGAGCCACACAGTATGGGGCAAAGTGAGGACCCCTGCAGTCATGTAGGGGAGAGCCACGCGGTTTCAGCACAGTGAGGACCCCTCTTGGTGAGGTGAGAGAGGGAGCCACATGATTTTGGCAGAGTGCGGACCCCCTTTTTCCCAGGTGAAAGGGAAAACCAGGCAGCTTTGCCAGAATGGAGATCCCTGCAGCCAGGTGAAGAAGAAAGCCACATGCTTTTGGTGGAGTGAGAACCCCTGCAGCTTTGGTAGAAGAGGCCCACGCGGCTTTGGGGTGCCCCCTTTGGCCGCGTGCCTGGAAAGCAGGAGAGACTTTGAGTGGAACTGGGTACAAAGAACTCTTGCCAGTGGACCATGAGAGGGTGCCAGAGTACTTTGGATTAACTAGAGATTCTGCCTGACACAGCTGACGATACCAGTGGCCTGAAACACAGAGGTGTGCTCCTTTCCTGATTTACGGTACCCGGAGTTGGGACAGTGGGAGAAGGGAGCGCTGTGCGGGTGTAGGTGTATACCCTAAAGGACTTTGATATTTTAGTGGTGGCATTAGGCCTGAATAGCATTAAATAAACATTTTGTTTCCTTTTCACAAATCTCTGGCATTGAGAGATGTCTTTCCAATTGGCAGTGGACAGAAGAGCCCAGTAGGTATTAGAATTCTGTCCTTGGGAGGAGCCCCTGTTTTGTAGCAGTTTTTGGTATCCCTAGGTGGGCCAAATACTGCCTCCCCCTTGGATCTCTTTTTCAGTAACACCATATTGGGTCAGGTACAGATAAGATCCAAATGGGTGACAAAACAACTATTTTAAAAACAGGCAACAAAGATGAGTGAGTATGCAACAATGTAAATGTAGCAAAATGTTATTTATATCATCTAGGTGGTCGGTATGTCGGTTTTAACTGTACAATTGTCTGAAAATATTTGTATGCATGTTTGAAATTTTGCATATTGAAAGGCCGGTGAAAATCGAGTAAGCAGCTTCAAAAATAATGCTATAAGGCCTTTCCCTCCATTTTACTTCTACAATAAAACTCTGATATTTTCTCCATTTTGTTTTTTAGATCTAACTTTCTTGCATTGGACTTCGAGCTCTCCAACTTTTTAATGAAGTGAAATGAATCACAATATACTCACAGGCAGTTTACCAAGACAATGTGTAGTAGGTTAGGGAGGGCTAGAGAGGAGAACCCCAAACTCTTGGAAGTCCAGGCTCACTACCTGTGTAAATATGAATAAGTGATTATTTCAGAAACCTGTTGTAGACCGCTCTGCCTGGTTCTAGGAATTGTATCTCAACCCCTTGTGGCTAAGGGCGAGGGACGACCTTTGAAATGCCGGCCACAGGAGACAAAGCCTGTGTCTGGTAGCAAACGCTGCCTCAGTTCCTCTCCCTGCCCCCAAAGCTTGGTGGGAAGTTAATGACAGGTAAGACCCCTCACAGCGGCGGGGGGGGGGGCGGCAACCTAAGCCAGACTCGATCACCTGGGAGGCCTTCATGGAAGGACTTGAGGGGCTGCAACAAAGAGTAATGGACTCTTGCCCCCTGGCCTGTGTTCTCTGGGAGAAGCACTTCCTGGCTCTAATCCCCTTAAGCCTGAATAACTGATGGGGAGGTTGCAGCTCCTTGCCTTGCTAGAGTGTGTCCTGGGGAAAAATCTGGCATCACAAAGAATTCCAAAAAAATTCTGTGACATCTGCTCTGCTAAGAGTGTTTTCATTCATATGTTAAGGATTCCAGCAGGAAACCCTAAAACTCTCTTCCTGACAGACTCTGACTCATACTAAACCCTCAGATTTCTTTGAAATGTTATCTACTGTTTGATCCTTGCAGCCCTGTATTCCTGTGTATTACAACCCAATAAAAGGCCCCAGAGGAGGGGGCTTGAGGCCTTTTTCCCCTGAGAAACTGGCCACTGTTCATGGCCTTTTTCCTCTGGGAAAATGGCCACTTTCCCTCCCTAAGCAGATCATATCATGTCTCAGTTATGTTTACTCTCATCCGTGGCACACGTGGGCACTTGCGAGGAAAGTTGCTCCTACAGAAACCCTATTTATTCATTTAAAAATTAACATTCAGATTCTCTAAATACTTGCCTCATCCTACTTTTCTGTATTATTGTATTAACTCATTTTCTACAATATATTCTCATTGCAAATAGCTGTTTAAGGAGAGTGAGGGATAAAGCACCACGGCATGTGCTTCAAGTTAGGGTATAACAAAAGGGATTTCTATAGTTGAGCCTTAAAACTTGAAGTACACAGTACAACTGACTGACCATACAACCCTGGGGTGAGGCCTTACAATCTCCTACTTTGAAGTGTTTACTAGCTGGACCCTCTGTAAAATAGGAAAAAGACTTGTCATAAGCAATAATGAGTGAGGTAAATAAATGAGTTTCTAAGATGCTAAAAATATCATGGTGAATGGAGAGGGGAACGAAACCATCATTGTAGAGTGATTATCAAAAACAAGGTAGGCAATCTTTTTCTGCAAAGGGCCAGGCCTCATGGAACAGCATGTCTGATGTAGCTATTCAGCTCTGCTGTTGTTAACGAATGAGGCCACAGACAAAATATCAACAAATGGGCATGGTTGTGTTCCAATAGAGTTTTATTACAAAACCAAGCAGCCCATGGGCTGTATTTACCCACCCCTGATCTAGAATGTGGAGCCCAACCTAGGAACACCATTTGGAAGACGACTTGAGGAGAAGTGAAAAGGGGAAGAACCTATAACTAGGAACCATTTAGCAAACACTGGGCAGTGAGGATGAGGCTCCCAATCTGCCAGCTATCACTCAAATCCCACCAAGGAAGGGACTGTGAGCAGTAACAACAGTAGCAACATATGTAAATGCCAAGGACCAAATTCCAACCATAAGAAGAGCTTTATCTCAGGAGAAACTCTTGAGAATATATATACATAACTACAAAGAAATAGCAAGGTTCTGACCACATGCATTTTGAAAAAAGAATTGGTGCAGAGCTTGTGGAGATTACCTTAGTGGGCACACAATAAATGTTTGTTGGTGAGTTATGTATTTATTCATCCAATGAACATTTCTGAGGCCTACTAATGTGCCAGGCTGGGTTTTGGAGATGAAGACACTGTCATCCCTCAAGGACCTCACAGTCTGTTAATGTAGGAAGGGGAAGAGGAAAATACACAATTACAATACAACCTGGTAAGTGCTGTAACAGTTGTATTACAATGGCCAATAGAAAATTTCTTTCCAGGGGGTGCTGCTCCACGCTGCTGCTGGCTATAACATCAAGAGAGAAGGGAGGAACAAATTGTAGAAATCAAAGATTATATGCTTTTGGGCTACTTCAAAAATCCAGGTTCTTCCTAACTGCTGATCATAGATGAATTTAAGAACTAGACACTAGCATGATGTAAAATGGGACTCCCATAGTTAAGATGGGAATACCCTTCAGTGCCTCCTCTACAATACAAGCTTTACTCTTATTGTTCCATCTCGTTTTGCTTAATATACATCTACCAACCACCTTACCACACACATAAGCCTGATTTAACATCTGTAAGTAGCAAAATGCTGAAAATGGGAGTTTAGGACCTGCTGGATTAACCCAGTGTAAGAGGACAGTAAAAAAGCAGTAAGTAACAGCTTGCCTTGTACCTTTAAATCCAATAATCTCTACACTGAAAAAAAATTAAATTAGAATATTATTAAGTATAAAAGAGATAGTAAAATACAGTGTATGGCATGGGAATAATAATTTTTAAAGTTACTTAATAAATACAATTAAACAGATTCCCAATAAAGTCATTACATTGGTCTTGCCTACACTGTTCCATTCTGCCAATTGTCACCTCACACTGACAATGCTTTCAGTTTGTTCCTACTAGCAGCTTATATTGCCAAAAACCTTAGTGTTATCTATAAAAGTGGACACTATACTACACCCATATCCTCCCCCAGATCACTCATAAACATTCAAAATAAGATCAGTTCCTGAATGGTTGGGGAAGATGGCACTACTGTTTTGTGTCTTGTCTAATTTTGTTAGGGACAAAAATATTGCCATGTCTTCTCCCCCCACCCATAGCCAGGGAGCACCACTGATGTGCAGAACTCAAGAATGCTTTCCTTTTAGATAAAAATAAATGGCTATCTGACAGTGGGGTGGGCTGGGATGGGGGTAATAGGCAGAAAACTGTACTTGAGCAACAATTAAAATAAAAAAAAATTTTAATGGCTATTTACTTAAATAACAGACAAATGTTATCTCAGTTGGCTACCAAGAATCTGACATGTATTCCACTCAGCAGTTGTCTTTGGAATCACAAATCTTTCTCCAGACTCAATGTATACCCAGGAGTGTATGTGCAACAGATGACATTTGTCATTTTCAACAAGTGAGAAGGGGTAATAGATCCTTATACAGAGCACATAATATAGAGCTTTTACAAACAGATAACATTCAGACTCAAATTGAACAGTTCACAAAAGGAAATAAGCTAATAATTAACACTTGCAAGTCCAACCTCACCAATAACTATTAAGAGAAATGTATTATAAAATAAACACACCATTCTTGTACATATAAATTAGCAAAAAAAATTTTTTAACTACCTAAATTACTGAGTACAAAAAATGGACATAGTTTTTTGGAACACTACTGTGGCAAGTCCTTATAATGTTCAAACATTTTGATGAATAATTCTAAATCTCAAACTATATTCTATAAATAACTTGAAATAGATAAACAATAAAAACTAAATGAAAAGACATTCATTACATAATTCGAAGTTCTGAAACTCTTGAAATACTTCCATACAATAAAATATAAAACCATGAAATGACAATTATGAAGAATGTTTAATATAAAGAAATGCAGGTTATAATGTTAACACAAAATATAATATAAATAGTACAAATATACGAGCAACTGTAAAAAATGAAGAGAGAATTAAAAGAAGTGAATACATTTGTTAACACTTGTTATCTCTGGGTAGTGAAATTATGGATTTTTTCCCCATACTTGAAGGTTACTCTCAGGAAGAGCTGTAATGAATATTTACCAAGTTTCTAGATTGAGTGAACTATTTAAACATAAATGGAAGAAAAGTCACAAAAGACAGAGAAATTTAACCCCATGATTTAAAGGCAGCAAATAACCTATTGTATGTATTTATAACATTACAGAAATCTGAGTAAATAGCCTTTATTTACAGAATACATTCAAATAGATAACGACAAATGCTAAACTAAAACTCCTGCATAAAAATCAGACATGAGCTACCACCACATGAAACAAAATGAAACTGTTAAGAAATATATGCAGGGAAAAAGAATACAAACTCATTAATACGCAGAGAAATGCAAAAATAAAATAATACTGTTTTTACCCATAAAATGTTTTTTTAAAAAACCCAAACACTACTCAATGTTTGTGTGAGTGAGTAAAAATTGGTACAATTTTTTGTGAAAGAAATGTGGCAATACATGCTGAGTGTTAAAAATGTTCATACCCTTTGATGTAGTAATTCCACTTTGGTATTTATCCTAACCAAATAATAAAAGAAATGCAGGTATTTTCAGTCTTTTAGTATATGAAAAAAAGCAACAACCTTTTCTTTATTATTAGACATTTGTATTAACACACCAAAATATTAACAAGGGGTAAGAAAAATCTCTACTGCAGCAAATCACTGGTTGTCTCAAAGCATTAGACCAGCTGTCAATCAGACAAAACAAGAAGGGTGTGTCTAGCCTGCCACAGTCGGCCATTTTAAACATTCTGCAGAACAAAAAAAAGCAGATGACAAGGGTAGATCAGGATGGGCACTCCACCAGGCTCCAAATCAACAATTCTTTCCTTTATGTAAAGCCTTGGACAAATTACTTAATCTGTGTCACTCAAATCTGTCATTTATAAAAGATGAACAATGGTGTTGCAACTTCATAAGATCACTGAGAGTACTACTTGAGTTAAGGAATGTGTGAAAGCACACAGACTGGTAATCTGACATAGTCTACTTAAATTTAAGTGTAATTATAGGGAAACGGGACCAGAGAAGGAAAAGGAAAAGCATGAGATCACAGCTAGGATCATTGGAAAAACCTGTCTCCTCAATTTTGAATCCTGCACCCTTTCTACTACATATCTAAGTGCATCTTTTAGCAATTAACAATAGATCCTCAATGACAGTCTTCTGAGAGATATGATGGTACAGCTGACTTAAAAACAAACAAACAAACAAACAAACATCCCTCCAAATGAAACCCATGCTCAAAGTTGTACAGAAAAAAAAAGAATCTGGAGAAAAGGGTGTAAGCCCAGGTCACCCTCATATCCCTGATTACCATTTGCCCAAATCCCAGGTTTAAAGCAAAGTGCAAGAAGCATTTGAAAGCACAGCCAAAATCCTCACCCCAAGAGCGTTAAAGGGTACATAATCAGGGGCTGCTGACAACATAACAGTAGATTCTCACTGTACTGCAACTACTGTATTCTATTACTTTGAACACAGTATGGATAAAAGTGTTCAGAGACAAGTACAGCAGCCCAAGATCGGCAAGTCTGACAGAAAGCATCCCTATAGGGTACAGCCTGCAAGTGGTTGGTCTCCGGAAAATACTCTGGTTTTACGCATTTCTTACACAAACAGCCAGCTGCTGCAACCCTCTGGAGTCATCATTGCCTCCGCATTTTTTTTTCTTATTTTAATTTTATTTATTTATTTTCTTTCTACCAACTTTTTAAAAAATTATTTTTCAAGTACAGTTTTCTGTCTATTACTCCCATCCCAGCCCACCCCCCACAGTGCTCCCCACCTCCCTCCCATTTCCACCCCCCTTAGTTGTTGTCCCTGTGTCCCTTATACCCATTCCTCTAAATCCATTCCATTTTTTCCCCTTAAATTCCCTCCCCTCTCCCCTCTGGTCGCTTTCCCCTGTTCTCTATTTCAATATCTTTGTTTTTATTTTGCTTGTTTGTTTTGTTGTTTAGCTTCATGTTAAAGGTGAGATCATATGGTATTTGTCTTTCAACACCTGGCTTATTTCACTCAGCATAATGCTTTCCAGTTCCATCCAAGCTGTTGCAAAGGGTAGTAGCTCCTTCTTTCTCTCTGCTGCATAGAATTCCATGGTGTATATGTACCATAATTTTTTGATCCATTCATTTACCGAGAGGCACCTAGGTTGCTTCCAACTCTTGGCTATTGTAAATGGTGCTGCTATGAACATTGGGGTGCATAGGTTATTTGGGATTGGTGTTTTAGGGTTCTTAGGATATAATCCTAGCAGTGGAATTGCTGGGTTAAAAGGCAGGTCCATTTTTAGTTTTCTGATGCAAATTAAAACCACAATGAGATACCACTTTACACGGGTCAGAATGGCTATCATAAACAAAGCAACAAACAACAAATGTTGGAGAGGTTGTGGGGAAAAGGGGACCCTAGTTCACTGTTGGTGGGATTGCAGACTGGTACAACCATTATGGAAAACAGTATGGAATTTTCTCAGAAGCCTCCACATTTTTAAACCCACACTATTAATAGGCCAGTGACAGGCTAACATTCTGGGTTAATTTTTGGTGCAGTAGCCACAGCCCAGGGGAACTCCAACTCAGGCTACTCTCTTCATTCAACTATAAATGTACATCTGCTTCTCTAAAAGTCCTGCTGCCCCATGATGGCCAAAGATAACTTACTTCCCAGCTCGCCATTTTGCACTCTTATTTGCATGAACACAGCACGCCTCCCATCCCTCATTTGTTCAGAAATACGCTTGCACACCTCTCTATTACCGTTAAAGTCAACTGTCCATGTTCTCTCAAATTGGCATGCACACCCTCACGCTCCCTCCGAAAAGTGACTGCCAACTACTACCAACTTTGCTTTCTTAAACACGCCTTTGACCTTCTGCCTCTCTAAGTCTTGTGCATGCGTCCCCTCTCTTGTCAGGCCTCCTCAGATATCCCGGTCCGCTGCCCCACCTCCCCGAGTCTGTCAAATACATGCGCAACATCCCCAACTTTTCATATTCTTCATCTTCCCACCTCCGCTTTATACTGTGTATACATATATGCCTATATACATATGCCTGGTGATTATCTGGATGTGTTTCTCGACACAGTTGTATTCCAGAGCTCAAGGAGAGCCATCCTTCCCTAGAGGGGATAGGTGAGTTAAACTAGGGAAGTGGAATGAGGAAAAGACTGCGCTCCAGGTGACTTCAGCATATGACAAATCTAAATGGAATCCGCCAAGACCCTAAGGGAGAGGCTAGAATACTCTGGGACTCTGAAATAAGACCCACCACCCTCAACAAAAGCAAAGAAAGCTCTCATAATCAGATGAGCTTAATTCTAAAGTTAAGTCCTTTAAATACATATGCTACATATGAGGAACTCCAAGATTTTTCAACAGAGAATGTTACAAAAAACACTGATGCTCAGGTGCCTTGATCCTGGTTAGAGGAAAGGAGTCTGTATTCCTTTCACAATGGTAAGTACATGCTCAACACCCTTTTGTAGTCTAAGGCCCATACTGTCCCCAATTTGTTCCCTCTCATGAACAGGGAGAACACACAGAATTAAAGATCTCCCTGACCCCAGTTCCCTCCGCCCCCCATGTTCTTCCCTCCCGTCGATCCTTTACCTAGTGGCTGAATCGAGTATCGTAGAATGAATTTTTGGTACCGGCTATCCCAAGACGGGGAAGAGAGAGCAGCGTTACAGACTTCCCAGCGCCAGAGTGGCAGCAGCAGGCCAAAGTGGTAGCGGACAGCAGGCAGAGACCAGCCGCAGATCCTCCGACCGCAGTGCTGCTGGCAGAAAAGGGCTGTCTCCGCAGAATCTCCGCAGTGTGCTTCCAGCGCATGCGCTGAGAACGCCCTCTTCTCCACACCCCGCCCACCTACGGCTCTTCCAGGTTAACCTTCAGGCTTTCTTGGCCTCTTCCTCGGTGCCCAGGTTCCTAGCCCATCCTGCTTCTTTCACCTTCCCTCCTTTTGGTCACACTGATCTGCACTACCATTTCTCCTTTAGTCCATCCTTCCTTCATAAGTCCCTCTCCCATTCTTCTGAGCCCACTATTTCATTGCCCAGTCTCCTTGTTGGCTACTATTATTCGTTGATATCCTTACTGGCTTACCCTTCCATTCTTGGTTTTCCCTGCCAGTCCAAAGGCCAATGGGACCTCTTACTGCTCTCTTACGTGCTTGATGTTGCAAACTGTAAAAAAATATATATATATTAAAAAGATATTATATCATAATCTTTCCCAAAGCAGCTCTCAAGGTGGGCCGCACTGGCTAGTGTCAGGCAAAGAGAACTTTTTTTTTTTTAATTGTTGTTGAAATACAGTTGTCTCCATTTCCCCTTGACCATGCCCCCCCCCCCAGCCATCCCCACCTCCTACCCTCTATCCTACCCATGTTTGGCTTTGTCCATGTGTCCTTTATACATGTTCCTTGATGACCCTTCCCCCTAATCCCTCCAGTATCCCCTCTCACCTCCCCTCTGGTTACTGTCAGTTTGTTCTTAATGTCAATGCCTCTGGTTATATTTAGGCAAAGAGAACTCTTGATGATGAACCCATGAAAAAGATCCACAGACAGGACACCAAAATAGCCCTTGCACAAAACAAAAAAGGCAATGGTGTTCAATCAATTTGGAGCAAGTAGCAATATGCAATATCTTTTTCTTTCTCTTCATAACCCTGATATTGTCTGGACATTGAAATTACTCTTCAGCGTCCTTCACTGCTAGATACAAGGCTTATTTCTGTCTTTGAAGAATTCACATAGTAATTTTAAGAGGAGTGGCATCACTTATTCAACAGGATGTTGAATTCCTCTTTAGATGTGAGGAGGAGAGAATACAAGGTAATATTTGGTTCGCTAGATGTTTTATTTTGGTAGCTAGTTCTTCTTCCTTTCTAAGAAAGCCAGTTTGCAAATGTCAAAAACGGAGACTCACAAATCAATAAATCCGGAGACCCATAGTATATATACATAGTCATCCTCTCTAATTAACTTGTTAATAATGTCATATTAGCATTATTCAGAAAAATAATGGAAGCTCATGTTTTTCAGATAATGTGCACAAAAAGTTATACAACAATGTAAAAATTCAGAAAGAAAAAGATAAACAGAAATGCTTGATACAAAGAACATCTTCCCTAAATTAAAATAATTTATTTATTTTTTATTTTTTAGATTTTCATTTATTTATCTTTAAGAGGGGAAGGGAAGGAGAGAGGGAGAGAAACATCAATGTATGGTTGTCTTTTGTGTGTCCCCTGCTGGGAACTGGCCTGCAACCCAGATATGTGCCCTGACTGGGAATCGAACCGTGATCCCTTAGTTCGCAGGCCCACTCTCAATCCACTGAGCTATGCCAGGCAGGGCTAAAAGAATAATCTATTAAAAGGAGAGGACATTTACCCAGAATACAACACCATTATAAAAAATGCTTTTACTTTGTGTTATTTTTTGTTATAATGGTTTTATTCAGATATAATTCATGTCATACAATTCACCAAATTCAAATGTGAAATGCAATGGATTTTAGAATACTCGGAGTTGTATAACCATCACAATTTTAGAATTTTTCATTACCTCAAAAAGAAACCTGATGTCCATCAGCATTTTTTTGTGTTATTTCAATTTTTGTTTAAATATGTAATGGTTTAACATGAACTATTTTATAAGTGCAATAATGTGTTGTTTTAACTATTTTTTCATATTCCTAATTATCATCTTTGTCATTTTAATAGACAGTATTCCATTTTTTAAGCATTATAAAGTTGAGGTTAGCATATAATAATTCTTGCAGATGGAGTTACTTGCTCTTTCCACTTCTCTTCCTTTTGATAAAACTTTCTTAATGTACTATGGTCCCATCTGAAGAGAAATTCAAGAAGGAGCTTGTAAATCTTGAACCCTATAAAATACTTAGGATCTTAAGCCTACTTATTTGAACTTCCCAGTTCATAAGCACTTCCTTGGGAGAGATAAAGGAGAAATTTAGGGACCCCTACTGTATCCACCAATCTTGGGATAACATTCTGAGGCTCTATTTCCCTCTTTTCCCCTATCCTATATATTTCTTAGGAAAATGAACTTTTTTAGAGGGTGTGATGGTTAATTTTATGTGCCAACTTGGTAGGGCCATGGTGCCTAGATATGTGGTTAAACATTATTCTGGATGATTCTGTGGGGTGTTTTTGCATAAGATTAACACTTAGATGGGTACATTTTAAGTAAAGTAGATTGCTCTCTATACTGTGGGTGGGTCTCATTCCTCAGATGAAAGTATAATTAGGACAAAAAACTAATCTCTCAAACCAAGAGAGAATTCTGGCAGCAGAAAACCTTTGGACTTAACACCAGCTTTCCCCGGGACCTCAGCCTGACACTATTTGGAATTGAACTATAGCTCTGATTCTTCCCTGGGCCTCCAGCCTGCTAACCCACGTACATATAATCTCATGTTAATTCTACTTCTATGAAGAATCATTAGTAACACAGAGAATTTCCAGAAACATTTGAATACCCTGAATTCAGAGGTTGGGGTATTGATTACCTTTTGGAGAAATGGTAAAAAAAAAAAAATTCTATCTGTTCCTTGAATACAGCTTTGCTTTGCCAAATTGTGCATTGACTAAATCTGGCATGGGACTGGCTTTAACTCTGCAAAAGCTACCATTGCAAAGATGTAAAACAAATGAAGAAGTAAGAAGTACCCTTGTCTTCTTAAGAGTCCAATAATTTTTCTGTGATAGTACTAGTCTATTTTGGCAGAAAAAGAACTGGTCTGTTCTTTGTGACTTTGGCAACTCTCACACCTCCTCCAGTGGGAAAACAGAAACTGGAAAGATGGTATAGTAAGAAACACATGTTAATTAGGGCCTTGATTTCATTTCTGAATGTTTATAAGTTTGAATATATTAATACTTTGGCTAGTAGGCAAAGAAACAAGATTGAATTGATCTGATTGGACTCCTTGATAAATTATGCAGAGAATGGCCTCTTGCAGCAAAATTCAGCCCCTGGCTGGGGGTGGGAGATGGTTGTAGCGCAGGAGCCCCAAACTGGGGAGCTGCTTAAGTGTTTGTGATATTCAAAAAACAAACAAACAACAACCAAAACCAAAAACTAACGACTAAAAGATATGGACGTGCTGTTTATTACTCACATTATAGGGGAGTACACCGAGGGTGGTGGGTCAGTGCCAGAGAGACTGCACCCTCCAGAGTCTGAGGCTCATTATAAGGGGTCCCAGTCAAAGGAGGCACGTATCCTATGAATGACACTGAACTATGCTGCATCCGCCGTCATGAGAAACAGAGGTTCGGAGACTTTCAGAATTTTCAAGATGTTACTTTATTGGCCAAGTTTTACCTGCGCAGGGGCAAGCTCTCTGAATGTAGATGAGAGCTGCGCCCCGGCGCTTACAGCTATGTCCTTATATAGGGGTGTGCAAGCAAGCTTTGAACAGAAGCAGATGTGGCTGTTAGCTATTGGCTAGCTCTAAACAGCTGATTGCCTTTGGCTTATTAGGGAAATTCAAAAGGCTCTTTGTGTAGTTGGCGGTTAGCTCTTTTAGGAAGTAAAAATTTCCCTGTTTCTGTTCAGCCTAACTTTAGTTCCTGGTCAGCCTAACTTTATCCGGGGCTCGTTCAGGATTGTCCCTTTTCAACATCTGTTTTGGACCTCAACATTCCCCCTTTTCTTTTGGTCGTGGATCAAACCCTTGATTCCTCGTCTATGGGTAGGATTGTATAAGGTTGGGACAAACCATTAGCTTTCTTTAATAAATGCAAGGAGTTTGTTAAGAAGTAAGAGTCCTAGAGTTAGTATTAATATAAACAGTAAGAGGGGACCTGCTATAGCGGATATTAGCATTGTCAGCCAAGGGGAGGTTTTTCAATTCCTCCCCCCGGGGTCCAATGTCCCCTTGAGACTATTGTTTCACAACCCCAGCTTTTACAATAATAGTCACTAGCCCCTCCGCAGTCCCTTGTCCATTTGCTGGGTGGTTCTGGACACCCATATGCTCCTGAGTAGTATAAGTTCTTGTTCTTCTGAGATGCATCACAAGCAGGGCCTTTTCCTAAGGCCATCACAGTTTCTCCTCTGAGTGGTCCCTTATATCCTTCACTGCCCCATAGCCTGACACCCAACCGAGGAACAGTAGTCCCAAACACGCAAGAGAGTGAGCTTTAAGGGTTCATCTGGGTTCCTCTTGGCATGCCATTCTCTGGACGTCTCACCTGGGTCTTCTGCTGGCTTTATATGAGAAAGGTGTATCCAGTATGGTTTCTCAGCCACACGAACAGCAGTGGGGATGCTTAACAATACCTGGAAGGTCCAATCCACCGCGGCTCTAAGTTCTCCTGCCTGTGGTTAAGAATCCACACCCACTGTCCAGGATCAGGTGGCTCAGGTTTCTGCGTGCCGGCCGCTGGGGTTGGTGCTGATTGGCCTCGCAGTCTTCTCACCTCGGCCCAAATTTGTTGCAGCGCCTGCAGGGACTTGAGGAAGTTATGGTTAGACACTTCTATCTCCTCTCTAGCAAGACGAGGAATAAGGGGAACAGGCTGGCCAAACATGATTTCATAAGGTGTCCACTTATCCAGGTATGGGGTACATCTTACTCTAAACAGGGCGAAGGGGAGTAGCTCTACCCAGTTCTCGCCGATCTCTAATCTTAATTTGATTAAAGTTTCTTTGAGAGTCCTATTCATTCTTTCTACCTGGCCTGAGCTCTGGGGTCTATATATGCAGTGCAGCTTCCATGAAATTCCTAACCTAGTGGCTAACTCTTGTG